TAACAGGTGCCTCGCTAGTAGTAACAGGTGCCTCGCTAGTAGTAACAAGCAGCCTTAGACTCCCCTAGGCCTCGGACATTTGCTTCAAGACCGTTGCTTGGAGCGGGAGGGACGTGAGGATGGACTCGGCGGACTCGGGCCGTGGTGAGGTGTTCGGTGTTCGGTGTTTGGGGCACATGATCATGAGAGGACACATGGAGGGAGGTCGGAGACCTGGATTTATGCAAGGGCTTTTATATAGATGGTTTGGAGTTTTCCTATGTTGGGAATCTCCCAAGTTTGGAGATGTGATATGACTTGTTTAGATTTGTAGAGAAGATACCTTGTTGACTTGTTCCAGGGCCGCTTGGGCAAATCCAAAAACAACCAAAAACCATGTTCCTGTTTCCATGTTCACGCTTCCATTTACTCCCTTCCCCCTATCAACCTGTTGTAGCCTGGATCCATTCACATCGGTATGATTACTGTTCACACCAAGGACGTGCACACCAAATGTGACCGTCCTGGCTTGCAGCTAGCTAGAGTATCATCCTCTCAGGAGATCGTCCACTTGGCTTCAACAACTCGACTATGGGCTGCCGTGGGCTGTTAGGAAGTCAAAAAGAGAATATTCGATCAACAGGCACACTACTACTACTGCAACAACAACAACAACAACACCACCTGCTGCTGCTACGACTAATACCTGTTGACCTCGAGGCTTTCTCGAGGGTGTTTCTCGAAGACTAATCGCTCACGAAAGGATTTTCCATGATTTCCCGCTGTGCGCGAAATAATGTGGAAAGGAGCTGTCTAAATTTGGAGAGTGCCCAACCTGGGCGGCACTTTGATCGGCGCTTGGCAGCCCGAGGCGCTTTGCACGTGGTTTGAGAAGGGGAACTGCCAGAGTGGCTCGCAATGTCAGCGACCTGAGAGGGCCGGTCGCGATTGGGGCGTGGATCTTCAAAAGCCCGGATTTCATGGTGAGTCATGGTGTCCAGAGCTCACCACTTGCCTCCACCCGCGGCCCTTTTGCCGCGGACTCCAAGGTCGCTTCGCACATGGGGTGCTGCCGGCTTGGCGTTGTGGTACTGGAATCCAGCGAATACGGGGTGGGGGCGTTTTTGTTCTCGCCGTGTCCGGCAAAACCCTGCAGATTCATTGGTAGGCGTTCGAAGAGAAAAAAACATCATTAACGATGATCGCTCGTTTGTTGAGGCAAAAGGCGATGAGCAAACAGAGCAAACTCAGAAGTTGCACGTTTGAGTGTCACACATTCGTTTCGCAAGTGGGTTCAGCCACCTCTCGTTGGAAGAACGGCACGGAGCTTAGCAAAAGGCACGGAGCTTAGTGTATGTCCATCTTAAGATATGTGAAGTCATCACCCCACCCCACCCAGGACACTATGACTCTAAGCCACTCAAGGGTGAAGCATTCTTATGCGCTTTCGGCGCTTTCCACTGGAAATCCATGCACCCTGGTAGGACGAGTCTCGGTCTTTTCCCGTTTCGGCCACCGAAAGAACCGGTCAGTCGCGTGCTCCCCGTTCGCCAGGAGCACGAGCTCCGAGACGACCCCGATGCCAAGGCTTGGCCCGGTGGTCAACGGGGAAGAGGCGAAGAGCGAAGCCGGTGGTCAACTCACTGACAACACATAGCAGAAAGCTACTGGTAGCTCCTGACATTTCTACTAGACAAGAAGCTACTAGTAAGAAGGGCATTACTACTAGTAGCATGAAGCTACATAAGCTACTAGCTCCTGGCATTTCTACTAGAAGCAAGAGGCTACTAGTACCAAGGGCATTTTTACTAGTAGCATGAAGTTACTAGTCATAAGTGCATTTCTACTAGTAGCAGGAAGCTACTAGTAGTAACAAGGGCACTTCTACTAGAAGCAAGACGCTACTAGCAACAAGGGCATTCCTACTAGAAGCCAGACGCTACTAGTAACAAGGGCATTCCTACTAGAAGCAAGAAACTACTAGTACCTCCTGGCATTTCTACTAGTAGCAGGAGGCTCCTAGTAGCTCCTGGCATTTCTACTAGTAGCAGGAAGCTACTAGTGACAAGGGCATTGCTACTAGAAGCAAGAAGCTTCTGGTAACAAGGGCATTCCTACTAGAAGCCAGAAGCTACTAGTAACAAGGGCATTCCTACTAGAAGCACGAAGCTACTAGCATCAAGGGCATTTCTACTAGAAGCAAGAAACTACTAGTAACAAGGGCATTTCTACTAGTAGAAAGCTACTAGTAACAATTGCATGGAGGGCTAGAAGCAAGAAGCTACTAGTAACAAGTGCATTTCGACTAGTAGCAGGAAGCTACCAGTAGCTCCTGGCATTTGTACTAGTAGCAGGAAGCTTTTAGTAACTATAGTAGCTCCTGCATTTCTACTAGAAGCAAGAAGCTACTAGTAGCTCCTCGCCTTTCTACTTGAAGCAAGAAACAACTAGTAACAAGGGCATTTCTACTAATAGCAGTAGCGCCTGGCATTTCTGCTAGACGCAACAAGCTACTAGTAACAAGGGCATTTCTACATGTGCAATTCTACTAGTAGCAGGAATCTACTAGTAGCTCCTGACATCTAGAAGCCAGAAGCTACTGGCATTGCTACTAGAAGCAAGAAGCTCTAAAAACAATGATTTCTACCGTAGAGAGATTGTCAAATTGTGCCGAAGGGTTGAAATATTGGAAGAACAAACCCCCATGGTGATGGAGAAAATGAGTCAGGTCCTTGTGTTGACATGGAACACAATGTAGACTCTCGTGCGAAGACAGTGGACCCAGCTTCATCCAACCCTCCCAACATTCCTCCTACTCGTGTGAATGAGCTGTGTCTTCCTGGTGATATTCGATGATCCAGAGATGAAGTGCAAGCGGCAATGATGGCGCAAGCTCAGTCTGAACATTCTTCCACTATCTTCCACTTAGTATGCGCAGGCAGAGTTTTTGCTGGTGACACTCGAAGATCCAGAGATGAAGCGCAAGCGGCAATGATGGCGCAAGCTCAGTCTGAACA